TATTGTATTTTAAACAGCTTTAATAAGAATACTTGTGTCTGTTACTTGAGTGCATCTTGTAATATAGTGATAAAATATATTTTAGCCCCCTCAGTTCCACAGTTTCGAAACCGTTACTTTCAAATATAACATATGAATCCCACGATGAGAAGAACATGCGTCTAAAGAGACCATTGTCACCGCACTTGAGCATCTATCAAATTCAATTAACATCTGTACTCTCAGTAACGCATCGTACCACTGGTATTATTCTTGCCAGTTATGCAATGTTTCTTGGCTTAGGTAAGACATATGGTTATCTAATTTATATATCCAATTTATAATAGTTCATTTAATATCTGTAACATAAACATGTTCAAATTGGACACTTGTCATATGTTTCAGGTACATTGCTTATACCAGGTGGTATTCCATGCTTCATAGAAACAGTGGATAATTTATGTTTACCTTTGCCTGTATTGTTCGCCGGCAAGACTTTGCTTGCTTTGCCTGCTACTTATCATACGTTCAATGGAATGCGTCATTTGGTACGTTATTATGTAATTGTATTAATTTAATTTTGTTAAAAAGGAATATTAACAATATGATTGGACAATTATTATATCTAACTTGCATTCTGTTATTACTCAGAAGGAATTGGCATAATATAATCTCATCAATATTTTATATATTTAACGTTATATCAAGAAATGAAAGTTTATATAAATTTGCAGGCTTGGGATTTAGGAATGTTCCTAACAATTAAGGAAGTGTATAGTACTGGATATATGGTATCTGCACTAGCAATAGTCTCAGCACTTGCACTTGCGACAATGTAAGTGTTGTATTTACATTTATCAGAAAACAATTCTTTAAAATTAATTGTATTATCGGATTATATTACAAATTGTATTGAATTAATGTTTTAGTTACAGAATAAAATAATTTATTAAAATTAATATGTATTTGTTTTTCCACTTAATTTAGAATAGAATTGATATTTAGTAAAGATTACACCGTTTATTGTAAAAAAATATTTTAGCTTTAAGCACAAAGAAAGAAAATGATAATAAAATAAAAAAATTTAAAACCTTTTTTCGCATGATTACAAATTACAAAAAGTATTATTTAAATTTATGTTTGAAATTGAAGGAATTATATGAAATCTGACTTTTTTTATTTCTTGTTTAAACATTTACATTATTAAAATAAAAATCTTTATCTTATTGCTACTTATTTATTATAACGATAATTTTATTAAAGAAATAAAAATCTACTTCTAAAATTTAATTGTGTATCTTACAAATAGATGTTAGAAGTACAGATAGTACACAGCCAGTTTTATGTAAAATTATCCAACGATAATTCAATGTATTTTTTGTAAATCGTCATAAATCGCGCAGCAAAAGCTTCCAAGTGAAATATAGGTTTTGAGCCACGTATCATTTTATGTTGATATTCTGAAGCAACCTCGATAATTTCTTTTTTTAACTGATCATCACAATTTTTTATACATTCTTGCAACAACCCTCTAAAAATCAGATCGCATGGTATGGAGCGCGTTAACAGGTCATAAAATCTGTTGCGTATTTCTAGAAGTACTTTGGGAGATTGTTCAGAGACCATCATACTAGCTGTATTTCGTATGTATACTTGCCAATCCGGTTCTGTTACTTTTTGATCAATACTAAATGGATACCTGGAAAAAGAAAAACTATGAAGTAGTAAAATTTTGATTATTTATAATTCACCACGCTTTTCATTGTATACTTCCATATATATGTTTAAATGTATCAGTACTTACTGCTCGACTTTGCAAGCTTCGAGCATTAATATTGCTCGTCGAAGATTTCTATTACTAGCTTCAACTATCCGATTGCCTAATTCATCAGGTAGAGTAAGTCCTTCACGTTTACAAATCGAGTGTAAAATATTTTTAATCTCGGAGGCGGTTGGTGCAGGAACTCTGATTCGCACACATCGCGATTGAATTGCAGGCAAAACCCGCGATGTTGAATTCGCACAAAGAATCAATCTGCATGTACTGATATATTTCTCCATTGTTCTACGAAGTGCGTGTTGTGCATCTCTTGTAAGTTGATCCACATTTGACAATAGTACCACTATATTTGTGTCAAATTTTAGTCTTTATAATAACTTATACTTTTATTATGTAAGATATTTATATCAGAATTAAAAACTTTCTAATTTTCTTATAAATACCTTTGAACTCTCTCTGGCCTATGTCTATATGATGCGTTTGAGCAGTTGCTTTTATTAATTCCATGACAACAATTCTATCATATATTCCTGCATCACTCGGATTTACTTCTGTGTGGTAATTACTGCTCATTGTCAATATTTCTATCTTTTTTTTAGATGGAGTCTGAAAGTGTTATATATAAAATAGTAATAAGTATCAAAAATAATATATTTTAATTAGTATCTTATATTTTTCAATGTAATGTATAGAATGCAAATGATTACAAATTTGCTAAAACTAATTATTGTAAATAGCAAAAATACAAAAGCTTTAAATGATAATTTAATGTATTGAAACAAAACAAAAATTAATTACCTCAAACTGCATGTTTTCTATTTTTAATCTTTCAGCTGCAACTCCGTAAAGTTCCTTTAAAATACATAATATTCGAGTTTTCTTTCCTGCACCAGGAGGTCCGTGTACTAATAAATGTGGAAAGTCCCGTTTATTTACCTGTTTTTTGAATATAGAAATAAAGTAAAAATAATTCAGATCTTTCTTCATATCAGCTAACTCAATATAATTTTGAAATACATTCTTGCAAGAACTTAGAATAAATTTTGAATTTATATTCATAAAAATTATAATTTTTATAAAATATAGAAATGAATACATATACTGTAAAAAATTTAAAAGTACAACTTCAATTCATTATTATAACCTTTTTATTTTATTACAGTAAATTCATAAAGCTACTTTAATTATCTATTTATGAATTATAAGATACATATTTTCAAAAAAATTATGCCATTAATTATATTATTCCATATTTTAAATCAAAATTCAATATTTGTTATTGTATCTTCAGAAGGCGCGCTTTTAAAGCCGGTTAACCTCTCATTCTTTAGATAATGTTTCATTGCTTCAATATTATAATATTTTACCATATTTTTCAAATTTTCCGCTTGCTCCAGATGATAATCTAATTTCGCAAGTGTCGTTGGACGATATTTATCAACCCACAAACTCATTTTTTATCGTGGATTAAGCAGATCTACTACAAATGTTGAACGTTATAAAAACTTGTGTCAGAAAATAAATTCATGATGTCGTAAACCGTCAACCGTAATACCGACGGTTGAACACATCTTTTGTCTGTAATTGCCACAGTAAGTAAATAAACTAGTGACTTTAGTAGCCCCGCTGACAAATATCCAATGTATTTATTTAATTATTGAACCATAAAAGTTTTAATTAAAAAAACAACTAAGTATTAGGAAAATGATTACATTCTCCTAAACTTAGTTGATTTTTTAAATTAAAACTTTTGTGGTTCAATAATTAATCGACAAGAAGATTATGGCTGAGTTTCAAAATATACTGTCAGTAAATTTTGAAACTCAACCTATATTAAAAAGAAAAAAAAGAACTTGGATAAAAGGAATAAATAAGGATTTTAGAGAATAAAAAAATCAATTAATTTTAATAATAAAAATCATAAAATATGTAAGATATTTATTTCAGCCAGCAAAATGTAGAATAATTAAATTAGGACCGGTTTTTACCAGAACGATAATATTATAGAACGCATAAATTATGTATGAATGTGTATATAAGATACATTGTTATTTTTGAGAGAGAGAGAGAGAGAGAGAGAGAGAGAGAGAGAGAGAGAGAGAGAAACGAAGATTAATTATATTGCACATTATACTGTTCAAATACGTATATTACAGACATTAATTATAATAGTTTTTTCAATACTATAAATGGTATATATTTTATAATAACATTTTTAACCTTAATAATATAATTGTAGATATATAATCAAAATAAATGTATTCTTAATAAAAATATGTCATAAAAATATCTGATTTATGTATAAAAAATTATATATTTGTAAAATATATTTTGTCAATGCTATGTGAAAACCGTAGAATGGCAAGATTATTGCATCAAAATATATTTTTTTAATTATATATTGTGCCCCATATTATATATTAAAGTCATGAATTTGTTAAACTTGAATTTAAAAAGAATTCAAATAAATCAATTCTTTTGCAATTTCAAGCATTATCTTTTTGAATTGATTAATAAATTTCAAATGTAAAGTTCTTAAGCTATTTTAGTTTCACGGTTAACATGGCATAGAAAATATTAAAAATATCATATGTTATATTAATTCCTATTAATAAAATAAAAGTTCGTGTTTAATCTAAAAAAAAATTACAAAACCATAATTAAATCTATTATGGCAAAATAATATTATAAACAATATAAAACAGCTATTTATAAAATATAAACGTAATAAGTATTTAATATAACATATTTAAGAGCGTATTAATAATTTTGATTTTTAGACTTAACTGCTTTCTATATAAATTGGAATTATATCTATATACTTGAAAAGCTATATTTCATCATACAAAGAAAATTTGCTAACAAATACATATTAAAAGCAAAATAGTTTTTTTTTTAATAATCATATATAAAAATGCAAATATAAAATATATTAAATATTCTAAAAAATATGAATGATTCATGTGTAACAATTTACATACTTAATAATTTCATTAATATTTTGCGAATAAATGATAGATTAAGACATATAGATATATATATATATATACATACATAAAGATAAGAACTTATCAATGACACATAATGATAATACTAATTGAAATATTACTGAAATAAATGCATAGAAGATACATTAAGTACTTTACGTACTTTAAACAATATAAACATACAAACATTTTAACGTATACTCTTTGATATGCTTTCTCACATATACATCAGTATTATCAGGTATATTGGTTTTTTCTTTATACCCACACACCATGTGGATTCTTACTTGTGGGCACTGCAGTTTCTAATTGTCTTGGTGATCCTATCATCTTACGTGTACTCCCAGGTTTATAGGCACCTAATGATTAAATAATTTTATTTATTATATACATTTTGTATACAAAACATAAACTTAATAACACATACATATACACAAGACATAAATATAATATAAATAAACACCTTCTAATAAAGATTTGACTTGCTCATCTGAACATGCAACAGCTAAACTTTGTAGATTTGCTTCTTTCATGTCAGCTACCAATCTTTCTACTTGCAATTTCTTCTCAACGATCGCCGACTCCAAGTTAACTACTTCTAATTTTAAAGATTCTGCATGTTGTGAAGCTAACTCAGTTGCGCGTTTGGCTTGTTCTACCTCATTTTGTAAATGTTCTACTTCGCTGATTATTTTTCGTTCCATAATTTGCCGCTCATCTGTTTCGCGGCTTATATTGTGTTGTTCCATTGCAAGTTCTTCCATAACTAGCCTGTTATAATTAACATTGTAATTTAATGCAATGCAATTTCTTACATCATATGTATTAAAGAATACTTGAGGGATAACAAATCATATTTACAATTCTATAAATGACATTGTGCTTGTATTTACCTTATCTTATTTTTACATTGAAGAAGTTCTGTTTCACAATTGGCAAGTTTTGATCTAAGCAATGTTATCTCTGACTTTAGTGTTTTTTCCTGCTGCCTAACTATTTCGCTTTCTTCTTCCACATGAGCCAATTCTTTCAACTAATTAAGGTAAATAATAATTAATAATTCGTTATTAATATTTTAATGTAATAATACATGGTAATTAAAAAAAATAGATGAAAGTTACTTGTTCCTCAATTATTCGACCAGTAGACTCAATGCGATTCATTTCTTGGGAAATATAATCCATTTGATGCATTTGTTCCCTACTCTTTGTTTCCCAATACAATATTTCTGCGTCAAACTAAAATTCATAAATACTATAGTTTGCATATTTTTGTAAATAAACAAATTAAATCAATCAAATTAAATTAAGTAGATCAATAATTGAATTATAAAAAATTATTAGATAATCTTTGTTAATTACAATAAATTAATCAAATTATCGAAGAAGATATCTTACTTTTGTTAGATCAGCTTGTTGAGCATTAATAGTATCCCGTTGCTTATTGACTAGTCTTATAAGTTCAACATATCGTTGAGTATAAGCGACAGTTGCCATATTTTGTGCCGTGACAGAAAGTGGATTAACAGATTGTGTAGGCACTTTTGTATCTTGAAATTCCTATAAAGAATATATTGTAAATTACGCGCAATCCCATAAATTATTATATCAAACATCTGTAGCAATAAAACCTGGATCAGATTCCTTTTCAATTTCATGGAATTACTAGACGATGGTTGATCGTCTTTGTGCACATGAGGACTTCCACTGCCATGCACAAATTGTGATCTTCCAGGACTATTTAAATTTGGTGGCGGTGGATCTCGGTAAGGTGGCAAAGTGCGTAAGGGTGGTGAAGCTGGGCCTGGAGGCTCTCTATAAGGTGGAACCTCGCGTACTTTTTTTTGTGACAAATGTGTTGCAACTAAGGCAAAAAAAATAAATTAATAAGACAAATAACGTCATGAGAATTATTGCAATATATGAAATATGATTATATCAGCACACTTAATGTGTATAAGAGAAATTACAATAGAATAACTCACTTTCAGCATTAGTTCCTCGCGTAGGTGACTGTGCTGGTTTTTGTACATTTTTTCGAACATTCAAATCCTTATTCTTCAAATGTGGTGTGGGCTGAACAACAGCCACGTTATTCTCCATTTGAATCTAAAATAACAATTTTATTTAAATGTTTGTGATAAGGCTCAATATGTATTAAACAACTAATATAAAGAGATAAGGGCAATGAGCCAATTTTCGTTAAAATCTTTAAATCAATCTAATATATTGCGAAGAATATCACGTAATTATGGCGTTTTGTTCCAACTTCCACTACTGGACTCATCAGTAAGGCATTGTAGTGGAAGCCTACCTTAAAATTAAAATTTAATTTTAATTTACGCGGGCGAAATCAATGCGTTTAAAATTACAAGTAAATTAAGGGGACGTTATTTCAGATTATTAGAGCTGCGTTTCAAGACCGAAGATTGTTTGGCGCGCAAGTTAGGGGGGGTGGGAGGGGAATACATATATTACTTTAAATAAATATTGCGAAGAATATTACTACGTCGACCCGCCATCAGAGGTTTATAGATATTCGCAAAAATTCTCGCAAATGCTTTGATACGCGTATATCTGTATA